TTTTTTTTTTTTTTAGTGGCAGAAACGGGCTTCCATAGAAACAGGTAGCAATGTGTGGGTTATTTTACAAATTTGGTCTGTAAATGAAAGCAAAAGAAAACAAAGGTTTATAGGGGAACTGGAAACTGCTAGGGACGTTTCCCTAATCAGACAACAAACTGTAAAGGTTAGGAAACTGCTTTAGTGTCAAATAAGGCATTTTATTATGACTATATGTATCAGGAGCAGGATTTTCTTTTTTAAATCTCAACCCGTCTAGTTACAAACATACCATACTATCCCCAGAAATCATGAAATCACTCAAAGTATCTGAAAGCTTTACTTTATGAACAAAAAGCATAAATATGCTTTGTAGCACAGCTAAACATAATATCTTCATATATGATAAAAGATAAAATGGCTTCAAGCTTCTTCCTAAAAGGCCCACGATCGGATACTTACAGACGCCTGCAGGTCATCCGTCTTACCAATCAGATCATCTAATCTGTCGCCTCTCTCCAGCACTTTGTTGATGTTGTCTGTCAGAATAACTTTAACCTCATTTACCTGACCTTGCACTTGGTCAAGCTTAGAGGCTGGAACAGCGGGAGTTGGCTGAGAATGTTGGTCAGCCTGTGAAAAATGGTGGAAATTGATTCACTTTTAGTGCTGTTGGTCCCTTATCCAAACATTTACTAGCATGTGTATGCTACTACAGGTCTGCCGGGCAAATGGCGGTGCTACAGTCCCTGTATAAGTTATTTCTAAGAACCAAACCTTACTTCCTGCAACTGTGCTAACAGGAAAAAGTGCTGTCAAGTGTCGGTAAGTTTACCAAGGCCTGTGTCACTGCCAGATGAGCACCATTGTCACAAAGTAAATTTTACTTTCAAAATTTTGATACGGGATTGTTCAATAATGTCAAGATTGACATCAAGTCACCCTCAGTCATCAATAGAAGAGCAGTATATTAGGCAAAAATGAAGTTATAGTCTAAAAATAACATCGACTTACCATAGCAACACTGTTTCCTGGTCAAAACAGCAAAATCCAGCTTCGAACAAAAAAAGGAAATCTTCAGACGAGTTCAGTCCAACTAATTTAATAAACAAACATAGAGATCTGTGTTTCGGGTCATACAGCAAAAGCTGGACAAACGTTTCCTGAAGGTTGCACCTCTTCACAGTTACTTATTAACTAACAGTTGCTGCAATCAAAGTCTCACTGTTTTACCAGAACAAGTCGCCATCACCAGAGAGAACTAAATTTAGTCGAACATGAACATGCAGTACTTTCATTTCCTGCTTTTGAGGAACTAGGCCTCTATATGATCACTACATAAGAGCAAAAACAGCCACCCTGTTTAGTTATTACAGACAAAGAAGATTGAAGTTAAGCTGGTAAATAAGTGTCTACTAGTTTTAGTTCTGTGTGGTTTACATACCATCAGCTGTCAGAGTGGTAAATGCAGGCCAGTGTTGAGCTGATATGTCTGGGCAAAGTACTCTGTGTTTGCGGCAGAGGGATATTTGCAAGGCAATAAAGGGGTGTATTCACTCGGTTGCTCCACTTCATTTCCTCATCCTGTGTTGTGCAGTTTGTTATTTCACCAGTGTAGCAGCCCACACCTGACAGTTTCAAAGTTTTGTTGTGAAATTATGCTTCATTCTAACATATTCAAGCGTCGGTTTAGTGCAGGTTAGCCCCTTTTTATGTAATTACTAGAAAACTTTTGAAAATATGTTATATAAAACAGGTCACAAGACGCACTATTTACCAGTGTCTGTAAGCTGTCTCATCAATGTATCATATCTATTTCTGGTCATTTTTGCATGGCCTTTGCCTTTTTAAATCGTCTTCGGTGATTCAGAAATAAAGCTGCAATATGGGATACAAGTTGAATATTATTTTAACAATATAACCGTTAGATTAACACAGTGGGTTAGCCTGCGGGGCCTGGATATGTTATGTGTGTAGGTTTTGTATGTCTTGTTTTCACACCAAATTGTGCTTCATTTACAGTTTTTTTTTTTTTTTGCTGTTTCAGCTTTCTTCCCCCACAGTGCAACACAGTAGTGTTTGTGTGCATGTGTGTTCATTTGTGTGTCATTTTTCTGCTGAAAGGACAAGGAATAACTGAAGATTGTGTAGCAGTCAAAGAAAAATAAAGCATTAGTAACACATAAATACTGAAGCCATTCAACCATTAATTCTATTTACTGAGCTCAGGATGTACTTCTCTAATAAAGAGGATCTGGGTGTGAGTTGTGGGAACTGATCATTGAGAGGGAGAATGCTTGCCAAATACTAACAGTAGCTGTGGATTACTGAAGTGGAAATAATAAAGACAAATCTTTAAGTGTGCATCAATGCTGGCTTGCTTGAAGTCACTGGTACAAAAAGGTAGCCTTAGGCTGAAAGGGAGAGGACAGATACAGGTTGGTTACTTGCCAGATGAAGTAATGGGTAGGACTGCAAACTGAGGGGTAAAGGGAAGCAGGTGTGTGAATGGGTGTGGCTACAGATCATGGGTTAGTGCAGATAAGTGAATCAGGTGACTGGGTGAGGAGCAAAGTCTGATGGCATCTGGTGGACAGATGGAGAACACCGGAGAGGAGCTAAAAGAGTGAATACTGAACAGCTAAATCACAGAAGAAACTAATATTACAAGTCTTTGCATCACTAAACATTATGTTTCTTTTCTTTAATATGAAGCATTAAAAAAAGTTGTATCCATGGTCTTAATAGGCTTATCCAGCTACAATCACAATGCAAGCAAGTATTCATAATTAGTTGAGTTACACACAGTAAGAGATTTGAGTAAATTGCCTCTGTGTATTTCTCTTTGGAGCGCATGCTTTTATAGAACCGGCGTTTTGTCTGTAGTTTTATTATTACATGATGAACAATTAATCTAGAAAACGTGGCTCTAGAAAACTTTACATTGGGGCAAAGAGGTCTAGGCAGTGTCGCACATGAAGTGAAGTAGTAAAAATCCCCTTTATGCAAATGGAGTCAACAAAATATCCACAAAAACACTTTAAAACGATTTATTCTAATATAATCTCTTCTAAGAAAACAAACCCGATTTTTTTTTAGGTAGGTAAGTTAAAACAGTTAGTTTTTAAAAGTAACTTTTAAGGACATAAAAGTGTAAGTGGGGGGTGGGTTCAGCTGGTGGGCACCTGTAGATCCGCCCCTGCCCTGTTAAGTGGCTCAGTCTAAATATATTCCATATAATTTTAGAAGCTGGGAATGTGTTTTCTAAAAAAAGTCTTCATTTGTTAGCCCAAAGCTGTGAGATACATGGAGTGGGAGTGACAAGTTCAATATAAAAAAGAAAATGCGTCCCAACAGTGCCATCTTGCGGCTGCCCGAGCTTGCAAACATTCCTTCTTCAGCCATTACAGCTGTTGCCAGATCCTGAAACGGAAATTACTTCTACGGTGTGCTGATGTATCATGTTTTCCTGCACGACTACTGATGAAGGGTTTCATCAGTTGCTTTCTGGAGTTTCTAAATCACAGTTATCTTCAACCTTCAGAGTTAATCATTGCTTTATATAATCGGCGCCGGCGAACATCACAGGCAGCTTTCACTTTATAAAGCAAACCTACATCGGTACGATTGCCCTTTGCTTCATTTTGACCCGCTGAATTCAACTTTTCTGCAGCGACTGTCGACGAGCAGAAGATGAACCAAGGTAGCGGAACCCGCAGCGGGAAGACTTTCCTGTTCACGTCGGAGTCTGTTGGAGAAGGACACTCCGGTAGGCTAGTGCTGTACTCATGTCTCACAGTGTAACGAACAATGTCCAGCTAGACATTCACACATGGATGTATCAGAGACACTTGGACATGTCTGGACATGCACACATACATTGTCGGTCCTTGTAACTCACCACAGCCGTGATGTTAGCAAACTACACAAGTGTATGGAAGATCATTTTACTCAAAACTGATATTGGGGGCAAATAATGATGGTCAATTAACACTTCAGTTATTTCCGTTAAATGAGAATATGAATGTTAAAATATTCAAAAATTTATTTTTGCGGCAGAATAATTACATTTTATATCCTAAATTCAATTTTAAAAAAATATAAATAAAATGAGAACCTTAAATAATTAAGATGTTTTTTTTATAACTAACATAATATGAAATATAATTTAAACCAAAATTGAAATTAAATATGCAAATTGCCAAAAATGTGACATAAAAATTTATTTAGAATAGTTTTAATATTTAAACAAGATTGAAGCTTCAATACTAAACATACTCTAAACCTCTTTGGAAAAAAAGAAAGAAAAGAAAGCATGATAATCTCAAAAGGTGGGAGGAGAAAAAAAATATTTATTGGAAAAGTTCAGCATTTTAGAAAATATGTTAAGTGCTTTTCTTGGTATGATTAAGTATACAATTATGATGCAAACTAAGTAGCTTGTAGAATCGCCTTTATTAGCAGTGACTTGAAATAATCTATGACTTAATTTTTTATCATTGTGGAGGAATTTTGACCCACACTTCTTTAATACATCACTTAGTAAAAATAAACATTGTTATCATATTTTATATATTATTATCCTTCTACAACATATCAGGATTCAAATTGAATACAAATCTGCAGAATGTATTTCTTTTATTTCACTTTACTTTATTGTTGCCCAATTAGAATTTTTTACATACTGATTTTGTGTTCACAGATAAAATGTGTGATCAGATTAGTGATGCTGTGCTCGATGCGTACCTAAGTCAAGACCCTGACTCTAAAGTGGCCTGTGGTAAGTTTCCAGTTTTATTATATTGGCGTGATAACGTTTTCACTATTTAGTAAGATTTCCGTCAGGAATTCAACACAGAAATTCCAAATCATCTGCTATTGTTATGTGAACGATGAGATAAGCAGTTGGAGCATGGATCGTGATGTGTCAGAACTAATAGTACTAACAGATCTTTAGAGTGAATAAAGTTCAATTAGTTTTGAATGTAGCTGCAAAGGTAGGCTAATTTGGTAACTAATAATTAAACAGTGTTTGCCTTTTAGATCGAAGTTCAGGTCAGCATTTTTCTTCTGGGTTCCTCTTGGATGACGAAATAAATGCAGTTTCAGATAACAAACCATCTTCTTCCTCTCTTCCTGAGACTCGCTCACAGTATTCGTTTCAATTTTTACAGAATGTGTGGCAAAGACTGGCATGATTTTACTAGTTGGAGAAGTAACATCCAAAGCCACGGTAGACCTCCAGACAGTCGTGCGAAACACCGTTAAGAAGATTGGCTATGATGACTCCTCAAAAGGTAAACTATGGATGAAATTGGTATTCTTTTGATTACGTGATTTTACAGAAAGTCAGAGTCAAAGAGTGTTGCTGATATTTTTTCAACTGTGATGTGCAGGCTTTGACTACAAGACCTGCAATGTACTAGTGGCTCTGGAGCCGCAGTGTGCGGAGATCTCAGACTGTGTGTTCGAAGGCAGGGATCAGGAGGATATCGGTGCAGGGGACCAGGTTCAGTATTTGATTTTCAGCCACTATGTTTGAATAAGTATTTTGGAGTTGGGGCTAGGATTAGGAGGCCAATAATAAACACATTAATCCTTTTTTATGTTTTTGGTTCAGCAGCAAAGGCATAGGAAATTCATAAATCAACAATTTTGTAATTTAAAGATGAAAATATTGAAAAAAGTCATAATTCTGATTGTAACTCTTTTGACATTCAAATACTGAAAACTACCCATAAGAAACGACGTCACAACTTTCATACATATTTTTGTGTAACTCTTACTGTCTCTGATCTCTTTAATGAAGTAGAACTATTTCTTCCCAAGTAAATTATTATTTACATTTTTTTGCTATAATATTCATAAGAGATTAATGTGTGTGTGTGTGTGTGTGTGTGTGTGTGTGTGTGTGTGTGTGTGTGTATATCATGTAACCACAAGGAATTTCCAGTTTTTCAGAAATCGTGAATAAACTGATGATTGGCGCTACTCCCTCGCCTCCCTTTAGAATTTTTAAATGGTGTATTCACCGAAGGACTGTTTGAAAAACTTGATTTTTAGCACTAAATAAAAAATATGGAAAAAGGGGGTCAAGGCATTACCTTCACTACAGGGTTTCATTTACTTGGAATGACTGTGTAAGCTTATTTGTTGAGATATTCAAGTGGCAAACCAAGCAACAACTTATTTGCAAAACACTTCATATTTTTCAGAGACATAATTTGTAAATATTTGCAATTAAAGATTTAAATACAAACTTTTATGTAACTGGCCTTTCACCCTTAAGGGCTTGATGTTTGGCTATGCCACGGATGAGACTGAGGAGTGCATGCCGTTGACCCTGCTTCTGGCTCATAAACTAAACTACAGGATGAAGGAGCTGTCGCGGAATGGAGAGTGTCCTTGGATACAGCCAGACTCCAAATCACAGGTAAGCTTTTTCACAAGGAAAATCTTGCACACTTCATCTTTTTTGTGTTTTTCTTTTAATATTATGGATGAAACTATACCCTCTCCGCTTTTTGGTTTCTCTTCTGTAGGTCACCGTGGAGTATCGAGACAACATGGGAGCCATGGAGCCCCTGCGTGTCCACACTGTGGTGATCTCAGTACAGCACAGTCCTGACATCACCCTGGAGGAGATCAGATGCAACCTAATGGAGAAGGTGGTGAAGGCTGTCATTCCTGCCAAGTACCTGGATGATAACACCATCTACCATCTGCTGCCGAGTGGGAAATTCCTTTTTGGGGGTCCACAGGTTAGGAATGACTAAAGCCTGTAGTAAATTGTGATTTTCATCCGATGTGAGGGCATGAATGATATGCCTTTGACGTTTTTTATACATCAACAGGGAGATGCGGGACTCACAGGACGTAAAATCATAGTGGATACCTACGGAGGATGGGGTGGGCACGGAGGAGGGGCTTTCTCTGGAAAGGACTATTCCAAAGTAGATCGGTCTGGAGCTTATGCAGCACGTTGGGTAGCCAAGTCACTTGTCAAGGCTGGACTGTGCAGGCGAGCTCTCGTTCAGGTGACAATCGAATGGCATTAAGGGGATCAACGTGTAAAGAAAGTATTTCACTCTTTATTCGCATCACTGTTTTGTGTCTAACGTGTGATGATTGGTGTCCACTCTGCCATGCTCTTAAGATCTCCTATGCTATTGGTGTGAGCCATCCACTCTCCATCTCAGTGTTTCACTACGGCACATCTAACAGAGACGAAGACGAGCTGCTGCAGATCGTACAGAAGAACTTTGATCTGAGGCCTGGAGTGATTGTGAAGTATGTGCAGTTTGTCCTAGTTGCATCTGATAAAGATAAGAGATTCTTTTATTAACAGTGTAGCACTTTGCTTTTACAGAGAGCTGGGACTGAAGAAGCCAATTTACCAGGCCACTGCCTGCTACGGTCATTTTGGCAGGAAGGAGTTCCCTTGGGAAAAGCCGAAGACTCTGGTGTTTTGAGTTTAGTGTTGAGTGTTTTCTAGTTGTGTCCTAGTAAAGTCCGCTTAGTGTCACATAATCAATAATGTCTAAATTCACCTGTTTAAATGTCTTCTCTCTGTTTAAGTGTCTCCTCATTTCTGGCTTCAAACTGCAAAAGCCGTGGCCACCACCTTTTATAACAAAGATTAATTACTATTTTTTTAATTAGAAAAAAGCAACACATTGATGTATTGTTGTATGATGGTTACTGTAAAACATCTGAAGATAAGTGTCACTTTTATACACACTGTCAAAATTCAGAATCTATATCTATACTTTACATTTATTGATTAAAAGGCTGCAATAAAAACAGACTTTTATTATAATATCATGTAACACTAATACACTAATTTGAAATACTTCAAAGATGGAATGACCAATAAAGTATGATCTGTATCATGTAACCACCCACAAATATATACAGATACTAACCAGTCTGCATATTCACTCTAAAAAAATATTGCTTTGGCTCTACCAAGTGGACATGAACATCCATCTACTTTTTCCACTTACCCAACTCCGGGTGAACTTATCCCCGACATAGGGAGACAGCCATTCACAGTCCCATTAACACCTATGTGCACGTCTTTGGACTGTAAGAGGAAGCTCGAGAAAGCATGCAGGGAAGAGGGTGAACATGCAAACTCTACACAGGAAGGCCCCAGCTGGCTCCTGGAGTCAAACCAGAACCTTCTTACTTCTTACTTAGTCCACAGTACCAACTGCCGAGCTGTCCTGGTTATGAACAGTCAAACAATCGTTTTGAGATGCATGGTGAGAACAAACAGTACACTGGCAAGGAGACGTTTATTATACCCGTTGCTAAATTCCACGAATGGACTGATAGTGATGTTCTGCAGATGCCGTGCCTGGAGATGGCGCTGTTGCATCATGTGTGGGGTGGATTGACCCTTTGGCCTTGTAGCCACTCTGCTTGGTGAGTAATGTCCCCCAGAGGACATTCTTCTTGTTGATGCAAAAACATGACATACACCCACAGAGTGAACACTTACATCGGGTGTTTCCATGAAAGTGCAGCGCACAGAGAGATGAATAATACCACCATGTTGTCAGATTTCAGTCCAGAGGGGGAGTGAGTTGGAAATGTGGGGAAAAGAGAAAAACATTCATTTAGTGATACTGACTTTTAAGTTCATGCAAAACGCCCTACATTTTACCATGCAGCTAAAGAACAGCCAGTTTGCAGCAAACTGGATGAATTTAATGGTTGGGAAGTGTAAAAGCTGAAACTTGTGTTTTTTATGATCACTGTGCCAAAAAGTATGTGAAAGGAAATGAGTCCAGCGAGGTGTGCAGAGGCATGAAGCAGCCACTCTGTCCTCAAGTACAGCCTTGTTTATCTAATGTGTCATCCATGCTAATGGAGAGAACAGGAGGGTACTGGGTAACTCGTTATATTAAACCTTTTAAAACAATTAGACTATCATATTTAAAGGAACATAAATCACAATCTTAATATTCTGTAAATGTTAGCTTAAAAATCACAGAAATATGTCCTCTTGTAAAACAATTTATCTGAAAAGGACATCTTTATCTTTATATCGTCAATACAAAATTGTACAATATTTATAATCATGGAGCTAAATTAATTTGCTGAAATCTAGATTTACATATATTGGATTTATTTATTTAGTAGTTTTTTGTTAGACAGAAGGACATAAAAACACTAACAGTTGCAGTAAGCCAGGTTTTATGCATTGTGTAAACAGCTGATTCTACCTCATCGCAACATGAGAATTTTGCATAACACACTCTAAATACGGTGTTTAGCTTTTCTTTTTATACTAAAAATTTATAATTAATCTTTTGCACTCAGTTTTTAGCTGTGTTGAAACATTAAACTAACAGGTATTGGTAATATGACTGTATTTAGCATTTGTGGTATTATTTTGTCACAAGATTTTTTACTATTGAGTTTAGTTCAGTGGTATATGCTTAAATCATTTTATTTCTGTTAAATCACTAACAAAAATCCTATTCAGTATATGAAAAACATTTATTGTATTTTGTATTATACTGTAAATGGTTTTTAGTCTAAACCTTAATAGTGGAAGTACTATATTGGTAAAGGTTACACTCACATGTGCAAAAGAATTCTTGTGATTTCCCTTTGATATATTTCAGAGGTGTTAAAACGACCAACTTTAGCCTTTATGCACCTATAACACCTTAGAGCATTTTTCATTTAATTTCATAGCAATAACATCTAATTTGTATCCACAGCACTTGAATATTACTGACACTTTATTTGGCACATCTTGCTAATACTCTTTTACTCTAATACGCTTTTTATTTTTAGAGGTGGCCATCTGATGTTGGTCCATGTTGACATGATAACATCACTCATTTGCTGCAGATTGTGCCAGTGGATCAGCCATTCTGTGTTCAGAGTCACTTAAATCACCATTCTTCCTCATTCTCATTAGAACTTGACCATGGTTGCATACCTGAATGTGTTGCTTTCATATGATTGAGTCATTAATATTTGCATTAACAAGGAGCTGAACAAGTATACCTTATATAGTGAGTAAACAAAGAGCTTACATTTCTAATCAAGATCATGTCAACACTTATTAATGCCACTGATTCTATGAACATCCTTTAAGTTGTAATTTCAGACTGCTTTCTGTATAAATCAGCTTCCACACACTTCACATATTTTCCAGGCATTTCTCAAACGCATGAACAAATGAAATGGAACAAACGCATTTCATTTTTGCAGCAGCTGAAGATAATGTATTTTAAAAAGAAAGACCTACACTGTGCTTTTATTATGAAATCTCACCTTCGTTATCACATTTTACCACTCCGTCCTTCTTAACAAGAGAGACACATTTGTGTGAGACTTACTCTGTCAAAGAAATTATTCATAGTTTTCAATCAGCAGTTCGTCAGTGTTTAACAGTAATTGAATTTTGATATGGGGGCAATTATTCATCATTTAAGGTTATTTGCATTAATTTGGAATATTAATGGGTTCTTTCGGGGTGAAAGAGGAGATGAGTATTTGGTCACAGAGGAGCTACACCACTCCAGGCAGCACATGGGAGAAGTTTGCCTTAAATTCTTTCTATCAGACAGGTTCTGTAAGACGTGATTAATTATGTTAAAAAGTTGTTGTTGTTTTTTTAACCTGAGCTGTTGTCATTTTCTAACCCTAACTAAACTGAAATATAAAATATTTTTTAAAACCCCGAAGGCTAAGTTCTCCTTGTCTTCAGGTCCAGGTCACTCAACACTGCTACTATCTGCAGATTGTTTTTCCTTGAAAATAATTATTCAGAAAATTAAGTCTTTCTGGGAACAGGCCCAGAAGAGCTTAAGAAAATCATTCAGTGTTTCTCGATATCTTCTCAGAATTAGAATTCATTATTTATTTATTATTATAAAATGTTCTGGATATTTTCCTCCAATGAAGGACATATATGTTGTCATAGTTACCATTTTCTTTAAGCTCATGCTCAATGATTGCTCAGCATCTACAAGATGACCTGCTATTATTATTATTATTTTTTTTTAAATAACAAAGTTTGTGTCTCTGTTGCATAGGCAGTGGTTTGAGGCCTGGGTGTGGTTTCTCCAGATAGTCACTTTGTGTTCTTTAAATTGGTCAATAATGACCAGGAGCTGGACCTCTCCACCGTGTTTTATCTAAAAACAGAGATAGCTGTTATAGCATCCCGCACAGGATTTTGAGCTTCCGTTTTTGAACTATAGACTGCATTTTAATATGACGCTCTACTGGGTTTGACTGACTTTTGAAGCAGCCTCAAGTGGCACCCAGAGGAACTGCAGCTTTTCACAGTACTTCTGCCTTGGCTTAATCTTTCAGCTTTGCAGTTTCCCGTTGAATAAGTTGAGTCTCGCTTAGTAGTATGTGGTTATAAGAAAAGTTAAATGCTTTTCAGCATTCGGTTTTGCGTTACTGAATTCATAATAGTAGTAATTTTTAATTCCAGCCCCACTAATACTAACATTTGCATTCAGCACAGAGGTATGTTTTGAGTTTTGCAGAAAACTTAGCATGGCTGTAGACTCTCTCTCTCTCTCTTCCCTTCTTTTTCGATTTCCCTCCAAGTAGCAGATGATAAGAGGTAATCCTATGGTGCTACATTTTCCCCTCAAATTTCAAGTGTAATGAGATTTTTCGGACTGGGCACACAGCAAGGTTACAGTATAAGGACAGCAGCTGTGAGGGTGTGAGATAAGAACAGATTGGCTTGGTGATAGAAGAGACGAGACGGTTTCAGTCTGGAATAGCTGATTTTCTGATTCAGAGCTCAGAGCTCTTTGATTGTTTTGACAACCTGCTAAGATATTCAGGAGAAGGACCGCTACAGCTCATGAAATTTGCAGATCCTGATTGACTGTAGGATATTTTCATAGAGGCCATCCATATGTATGGTGTGTGTGTGTGTGTGTGTGTGTGTGTGTGTGTGTGTGTGTGTGTGTGTGTGTGTGTGTGTGTGTGTGTGTGTTGGCATATGTGAACCGGTTTAAGCTGAGCTGGAGGTGGAGGACTTGGATTTCTTTCTCAGCTGGTCTCTTATAGGATTTTCAAAAGGATGGGAAGACTTCTCCATCCATCTCTCTCTCACACACATTAAGCAGACACACAGATTTTGTATATTTTTTTTAAAGACCCCTCTGTCTGGTTATACTTGACTTTACTTGGTCTTTGCACATTGTGACAAGACGCCAGAGGCTTTTCCACAAGTGTGAATTTGCTTAATTGACCACACAGGGCTCTAGTAGGATTCTATAGAAGCCAGGAAGCCATGCGTTCCAGTATCCAAATACCACCACAGTAGCTCACAAAATGAAAATATAAGTTTAATTATAAAAATGTATTTCCAAGTTTAAAAGTTAACATTGTGGCAAATTTATTGCAAAGCCAGGTGATGAGTAATTTGAAAGCAACAAATATCCCCCCCCCCAAACAAAATACAACAGAAAAACCCTGTAAACACAACATTGATTAAGAGATAATTGTTAATACCACTTTATTAAGGTAAACATCTTAGCAAATAATTGTATTTTTATACTTGCAGTAGTTTATGTCTAATAGTCAGAGAAGCACTTAAATAGCACTACAGAAGAAGTGCAAGCATACAGGGAGTAACATTTTTAAAGTTGAAAGGTAATTTCAAATGCAAAATGTCTAATTGATCAGCAAATTTCGGCAAACACACTACACAAACACAATGTGTGCAGTTTGTCACACATCATGTCTGCTAGCTAAAGTTATGGCTGCTGTTGTTTTCCAGGGAGAAAAAAGA